CCCCCAGCTCATTTGCCAGCACGGAAATCCGTTGTGCCCCAAAAGCTAGTAAAGAGGGGAGACCTGGTGGAGGGAAGCAGCCAAATCATTGTCAGGAGGCTCCTGTAGGAGCGGTGCTATGGCTTTAGTTGCTTGTTTATTTACCTGTTATATTTATGTGTAATCCTATCAAACCCTTCATGGCTGAACCCATGTTTCCAGAGGCATCCTAAATCCCTCCACTTCTGGGAAATGCATGGCCCCTGGACAGCTGAAGGGATATAGAGTGAAATTTATTGTGCCCATATAAATGGGCAGAAGTGAAAAGATGTTCACTGCATCTCTCCCCTTAAGGCAGATGGAGGGGCTGGGGCTGGGGAAAGGCTTGGGAGCATCCACAGCTCACATTCGCTGTGCTGCCCCTGAAGGGGGATGTCCACTCACTCCCATGAGGCTCCCAAAGGAGCATCCCTGTCTTCTCCTGCATCCTTCAGGGCTAACCCACGGGTTGTGGTCCATCTCTTTGCTAGTCCTCTGCCCTTCATGGGGGTGAGCACCCAGAGGGCTGCCAGATGCAGTGCCTCGCTGCTGGGTCAGCCAGTGTGGCTCAGGGTCACACCAGGAGAGGAGAGCACAAGTTAGTGGGGCCGTGCTGAGGTTACCAGCTGCAAACACCTGAGCTCCGTGGTGCTGTAGATGCTCCTTGCACATGCTGAGCCCGTGAAAAGCAACTGCCATCCCTTATGTCGGATTATTTTTGCTGTGACTCCCAGCCAGCTCAACTGCAGCCGCACTAGCAAGGCTGCGAGGCTGGACTGACTTTTGTGGGGTTGGCTCAGAGTGGCAGGAAAACGCATTACCTCTTCAGACAGTCATACTCCTCAGACAGCCATTGATCCACATTATGCATACAACCCCTTCCATTCATCTCTATACTTAAAATGCCTGTGTAGGTAAACCACCAGGAAACCAATTTAAGAAATGGGGAGAATTTGCATCTGGCTAAGTTTCAGAGTGTATTGGTAAATCAGACCAATAGGAAATTAATACTCCATTTAGAATAAAGGTTTGCTAGATAATAGTAATGATTTTGTCTCTCGTCCAGAGGCTTATTTACACTATTGAAACCACTGAGCTCTCTTTTACTGAAGGTCTTTGCTGACTCCTGCCACTGTGCCCAAAGGAAATGTGACTGTTTCCATTTGCAGACGCCATTTTGGTTTATGACTTTCATATACGTCCCCTCTCTCCCCCAGCACTTCACACGCTGAACCTTTGTGATCTTGTGACCGTCAGTTTATTCCTGGTATCACTCTGGCAGAAGAAAGCTAGGACATCTTGGGGACACCTAGAGGGGATCATCAGGGTGAGCAGGCTATAAATGACACTTTAGCTGACCCACAGACAGGTCACAAATTTTCGTCACACAACTAAATCATGTTATTTCCCAGAGCAAAAATCCAGGGACCAGATTTCAGCTCTTTTCTAATTATGTGGAGTATCTTGAAGGGAAATCTTCAATTTTTTGTGAACTCTCCCATTTATTTATAGCTGCCTGTAATATAGAAGAAAATAATGGCACTATTGTTGATGCTTTTATTATAAATAAGTAAAAATGCAAGCCAAATTTAGACACAAATTTAGCTATTCTGCTTTCATCCCTACATAAAATTTCTGTCTACCCAAAGGAAAAAAAATTACTTTGATGAGGAACATGTATATTTGCACTGAAAGATTGTCACAAATCTTCCCAGTAGAACAAATCTTCCCAGGGACTGCTCCATATATTTCTCTAAAAGAAGATCAGCTCAAAAAAAACATAAAATGGAATAAAAGGAGCCTTATTTTAAGACTGGTAAAATACTTAGGCCAACAACTATCTGCTTGTGATTGTTGTCAGCATTCAAGTATCATACAAATAAAATGCATGCAATATTTTCATTTGTTATATAGTGATATTTTTATCTTTGGATCTTGGTAATATGAGAATTGATATCTTAATTTATAATCACCAGAAACTCCCTTTATAAAAATATAACCACAGACTGTGCAGTTGTTATATATAGTTTAATCTATATATATGTATAATATATCACTTACATTACTGAGACATTGTTGCATGGAAAGAGTCAGGATATTCTAGCCTCATTAACAGCGCCCAGATGCTGTAACGCTACCTGCCTCTGGCACAGGATGAGTCAGATCCTGCCTGTGCCCATCTCTTCAAAAAGCTCTTACTGAAGTCAATGGGACATTTGCCTGATTCACAGAGCAAGGTCAGGCTTTCGGTTATCTAGGAATTACACAGACTCAGACTCATTTCCTCCAGGATCCCAACTGCCTGATTAAAAGTATCAGCTGGGAATTTGGAAGTCTGTGCTCTGTTCCCTTATCTATTGCAGCCCTTGTGGCCGAGGGATGGTCATACTATTAGCGGCAGCCTCCGTGCAGCACCCAGAGCAAGTGTTGGTGCATGGGGTGGTTCACTAGGGCTGAAAATTCAGTGTTTCAGTTTCCCCAGGGCAAAGCTGATGCAAATGCTTTTGCAGTGGGGTTTCTGCACTTACTCAACAGTTTGCAAGATGGTTTAACGCTATTGTTGTTAGCTGGAAAGCAAAGGACAATGATTCTCCCATTATGTTCATAGTAAATTAGAAGTTAGCCACCTAGAAGGAAATAGAAAGATAGACCTACAGAGGAGAACGCCTGCTAAAGAAACAGGCTTATATGGAGAATGACTTGGACATGTATCAGACTAAAAGCTCAGTAATATTTCATTGGAACTCCCTCTTCAGAAATGGGAAAGGTTGTTGAACGAACTGCTCTGAAAAGACTGCTGCTGATGTTGGAGAAAATGTTACCAAGAATCAAAGTCTTAGAAGGAGAAGGTAGAAGACTTTTTGTCCTGCCTAACTAACTTCTGCATTTCAACACTCGCACTGATGAAAGAAATTTTGTCTTTGGCTGACTTGAGTGGAATGTGAAATCTTCCATTTTTCAGAACATTTTTCTCTTTCAGATCGCTTGAAATGATCAAAGGAGGAAGGCTGTGAATCCGCGAAGGGAACTGGCGATTTAACAGCAAACTTCCTTATTTCGAGCCTTAATGGTTGAGAAGAGCTTTGGCTGTCCCAGAATCTTCCGTTTAGCTTTGGTTTTCCACCACCCATGTACAGGAATACTTGGAAAGCCCTTGAGCAGCTGTCCTGCCAAAGAGGGAGAAGTGCTGTAAGATGATCAGGTACTAGACAAGGGCTTGTCCCGATGTGCTGTTAGTGAAATAACATCAAAGCACTCTCTATGCTTTTTTTAAATGGTGGGTCACTGCTGCTACTTTTGCTTCCTTCCTACAGACAAGTGAACTTAATGGTAGGAGACTGTATATGCAGACAGGTTGCATCTTTTTAACTGTGTTTATACATGTAAAGCACTGTAGTCCTCTCCACGTTGCCTGCAAACTTCTCCAACACAATAGCGATTATACTGAAGTAGTTTATTCTTGTATGAGGAGGGGAACAGGTATAACAACAAGGGCTTTTAATTACGTCCAATCCATAAAACTGTCCAGTAACTTTGGAGAAAAACCTCATCTCTGCAAATGGATAGCCACAGGCAGTGATGCACCGGGAAGCACTACTAAATGTCTTTAGACTTTTACAGTAGCAGGAGGAAAACACACTTTGTTTGGAAAATCTGCATCTGATTTGTTTTTCAAGTTGAGAAGCATGCGAAGTGATTTTTAGTTTAGATTAAGGTAAAAAGCAGAGAAAGAATAAAAAAAAAAACCCTTGTAAGAGAGTAGAATACGTCTCCTTCACATCTCAAATACCCTCTGCCCTGCCATGAGGAGGGCACACAGTTGCCATGGGACTGGCCCTGCCTACGACTCACTTCACATGTTTCAAGGGGAGAAATTACAGCACAGATACTTGGCACTTCAGGAATCTGCATTTAGGAGATAAGTTCGAAGGTCGGCTGAAAATGACCTAGAAATGAGAGCTAAAATCCTCTTCTATCACAAGAGAATTCCCCCACGCAGGGCTGCCTGAGCATGCTAAGGAATGAATCAGAGGAAGCCAGGTTTGGATGGGGCGTTTGTATAATTTTCATTCCTACTGTAGACAAGACGCAATAGTCTTCAAGAGAGCTCAGCTGAGGGCTGGGTCCAATGCTGTAGACCTGC